AAAGCAAGCAACTTGAAGACATCAAACAAACAAGAAAAGACAGAAACAAAATGTTGCTTACTTTTTGCCACTTTGATATATATTGGCAAGCAGCAGTGGGAAATTGTGTTGAAAAGCAGATGCAAACAAGCTGGGGTAATCACACTTGTCCCATGGTGATGAACTTTGGGTATCATTTGCAACTTTGTGTGCATCAGAACATGTATCCTGGGATTTGTGCATCAGTCTGTGAAAGCAACATCTACATTTGAGAGGTTTGAAACTCTTACACTGTTTGCATTGGATTTAGAATTGGTGGGATTCTGTTCTTCAGCCATTTGAGAGGCTCAAACAAAAATTTTGGGCTAGTTTCTTTCTTCTGGTGTGTCTTTACTGGCAAGCTTGCTGTGTTTGTGCTGGAAATTGCCATCCATACAAATAATTTAAACGGCCTCCCTTTCACTCCCCTTGATCTCATCCTTTGCCAGTCCAATGCATTGACTACACTTGGTGGCCCATGTTTTGAATTTTGTAAACTGGAGGCCATGTTGAAGAACCTCCTTGAAAATCATCAGGATTTGGCTGTAGAGGTGTGTTGTACTAGAGAAAGGTTGTTTAAGGTTATGGCAATTGTTATCAACACTACCACAAGCCTCGACTGGGGTCAATGATTGATCATCAAGAAAGTTTGAAAGGCCTTTGATGAAGCCCTTTGCCAATGAAACAGAAGTTTCCCAGATGTGGTGAAATAGCTGTATGAGGGGGATTGTGAAGGCTGATGTGAGGCTGATGTGGCAAAGCTGGGAGGTATCCTTGATATATAAGTTGAATAGCTTCAGGGATACACCGGCAGAACCTCACTGGCCTTGATGAAAGTTGCCCTTGAGGATGTCTGAATGATGAGCTTCTTTGGTATGAACATTGTGATGAGTTGATGAGTTACTACTCACTGAGTACGTCAATGAGATTCCAGTTGTGATGATAATAAGCGCTTTCCAAACACTGGAAATGTGGACTAAGACAGTCTAAGTATGAGTATTCTGCAGTCCAGTTGGAGGTCAGGAATTGGGAGTGAAGGTAAGTGGTGGCAATTTTATTTGCAAGAGCTTCCCACTTTTGGCAAAGACGTTCCCATGCTTGAGCGTATCTTTCTTCTCAATGTCTCTTCCAAAACATTTTGATTGCCATGTTGTCATTGTCATCCAATGATTCTTCACCAGGAAATGGAGCATCAAACATATGAGTCTCATGATAAGGAATGAATTCATCTGGATCAACTTCATTTTCAAGTTGATAATCAATATGTTCATTGGCTTCCTAAATTGATTGCCCACTAAGTAGTCTTCTGGTTTTTTCCTTCTCTTCAGCCAAAGTTTGATTGGATCAGATGGATCTCTCTTCATACATGAACATTGTTTGTTTTTGGTGTTTGATGTATTTGACCAGACTCTCTTGCAGGTTTGGCTCATGTTTGGATGAGATGATGAGAGGTGATATCAGGAAAGTTGAGAAATTTGGGATGAGGATGCCCTGTGCCATGTATGCATGAGTCAGAGTAGTTGTGTGTTTGGATTGTAGACTTGGGTTGGGTGAGGTGTGAGGAGGCTATCACAAGGATATTGGGAGTTCGCAGAAGCTTGGTGAGAACTTGTGTAGGAATAGGAAAAGGGGTGGGGACCTTGTGTGTATAGTGTTTTCAAGAGCTCTCAGATGCAGGTAACTCTATCTACAAGCAGCTGTGGTGTACAGTTCATTCTGTGTCATGATAGTCAATATCCAGAGGCCAGAGGTGGGACTCTCTGGATCCATTTGATCTTGGTCTCTCAGATCCATCTGGGAATACATACATATACATTCCAGGTACATGATACATACTTTGAGATTTGGCAAGATATGGACTGAAGTTTACAATGATGAACAACATGCAGTATTTAACAATGAATACTTCTTGTGTTGGCAGGAATTTCAATCTTAATTTTCCGTTTGACCACAAACCTCAAGCAGATGGATCACCCCAGATTCCTTCACTCACTGTGGACAAAGAAGCAAAATATTGCCCAATTTATGAAAATCTGGTTGCACATGACAATGTCTTACAGTTTGAAGGCCACTCAAGCTCCAGAAAAGATGACAATAAACACTCTGAGGAGTGTTCAACGACTTGGTAAACTTGTAAGTGGTCATCATCCATATCCTGCTCTGCCACATTTTCTGTTTTTCCCATTTTGTCTTTTGATCAAATTTCACATTTCCTCAAATTATCATTTTTCAAGTGATCAACACCCAGCTTGCAGCACAGAATGCAAGGCACATCTTGCACTGTGGCTCAGCGCAGGGGTTTTGGCAATTTGGTCACTGTGCCAATTACCAGTGGAGGCACCTTTTGGTTTTTGGCCACTGCACATTTTCACCGTGCAGTGGTTTGGAGTAGCCTGCATATGTTCTGCTTTGGGAGATTAAAGATATGGGCTTGTCATGCGCAAAAAAACGCAGTTTTTTTGCACAGTGTGTTGCACTGAACTGCACTGGGCTCACCTGCACTGGAGCGCATCACAGGGACCTCCCAGAGTTTGGGTCACCAGCGCTGCGCAGTGGGTTAGACAATTTTCAATTTTTTTGGTGCAGTGCAGTTTAGCGCATTCTGTGCTGTACTGTGCTGAGGCCGGATGTTGATGTGATCTTGAGCCTGCTAGCTTGCCTGCAATGGACATCAACCAAAATCCAAGTATATCCTTCTGGTTTCAAGTGCCCACGCTTGAACAAAAGATAGTGCTCCTGGATGGACTCAATAATACACCTCCGTACCATCTATCACCAAATGGGTCAATTGTGAAATAGGTCTCTCACCTGTCTTTGCAACTGTTGCCCAGGGAGAGTCTATGAACAAGGCCATATCTAATCACGGCCATCTCTAATCACCACAAGAATGAAAAGAAGGCAAAGGGTTCCTCAGCTCGACTACAAAAACCTAGCAATATATTAAAAATTGAGCTTGCACTTGCTTCAAATGTGCAACTTGGTAATTTTTGAGCTTGATTAAATGTGAGTATAATTTGTTTGGATGCACTAAAATCCTCTCACCGCCAGTATAGCTGAGGTACTTGGCTATCATCCAACACAAGGAAATGGTTTTCCTCTAAAAGTTGACCCTATACCGGGTCTTGTCAAACGCAAGGTCCCTGCCCAAATTGTGCAGGACTCACAATCAAAAATGAGTGCTGAGAATTTGAAGGTTGGTTATCAGGCAATCCACAAGGTGCAAATACAGGAGTGTATGGATGAATTGGAAAGTAATCACTTCCATCTGGAGCTTTTGGAGGGTGTGGGAAGAGTAAATCAAGGTGAAGGTGATCAGGCTCCCAAAAAGTCCAAAGGTAAGGGAAAGCGTGCAAGTAAAATTGAGTCAAAAGCAAGAAGTAAGTGAAGATAAACAATGAGAAACAGAAAAAGAGGATGCCACAAAGCTGGGTGATCTTAATGATGATGACATTGCCAACAGCAATTATTAACAGTGGAACTTCTGGGTTTGATCAACAAATATTATTATACACAACTTTATAAAACCAATCTTTCAGAGAAAGATTAGTTATACATATCTTTCTTTGTTATTTCTCTCTATTGTCTTGAATGAGATTTGGAAAAATACTTGCCAAAAAAATCTCTTTCTTCATCCTCTTCTTCTTGAGATGACCTTTAGAAAAAACTTTCCAAAAAAAATATAAACTTGACAGAAAGATTATATCTAACAAATTATATCTTCCTTTATTTTCTCTTTCCTTTCTTGTTATTTGTGATTTTGTCTTGTTTTACCTCTGCTTGAATATAATGCAACTTGATAATTGTTTTGATGTGCGTTAGTACATGAGTGAACTGCAATGTATCAAGTAGCACATCTTCTGATCTGGTCAACATATCAGTTAGCAGCACACCAGATGCATCTGGGTGGACTGCTTTGTTTCAAAGTGTGGGTAATATTGAGATGTGGTGCACAAGTGTGAGTGTTAAGATCTATCTGGAAGTATGGATTTCCCAGATATATCTGGTGTAGTGTATACTCCCAATATATGACCCATCAAGAGTCTACTAATAGTCAGCGTGATCTGCTCAACAAATCTGTGAGCAGTGCACCAGATGTATCTGAGTGGACTGTGCTTTGTTCAAAAGTATTTCATTTGACTAGATACATCTGAGCAAAATATTTGCCAGATGTATTCAAAAATCCAGTTCAAGGTTCAGTGGTGCATTCCAGATGTGTTTGGTGGGGCTGCACCTCAGAGTGAGTGGAGGCTTTCAAAGACTTACACTGTGTATGATCCCCAAAGATCTATCCAGTGGGTCTGGAAAGGTCTGAACATGTTTTCTGGATTGTATGTATGGAGGCATTCAAACACTCACACTGTGTAAGATTTCCACAGCTGTATCTAGTGGGTCTGGAAGGGTCTGAACAACGTTTTCTGGACTGTAATTGCTCACGTTTTTTTCCGGATACAGTCCGTTGGTTTCCTGTTACACAGGTTGCAAAATGCTTAGGGGAAAATATTCAATACATAAGATTTTGATTTGTATGGCTGGAATATCCAATTCATTTTGGAAGGAATATCAATCAAGTATTGCTTAGACTGTGACATATCACAGAGTAATCAAATCAATCAGCCAATTTGCAGCTAATTCAAATGCTCTGTAGACGGATAAGCATGGAACATATATTGAATTGTTATTGTAAAAGGAGACATTGAACTTTAAGTAATTAAAATACTTATATTGGAAAATATTTTGTGTATATCTAAAGGCTTCTTGGTAGGCAAAACATACATCATGAATTACAGTTCAAAGATTGCTTGAAAATCTTCAATGTCAGTCTCACTTCCTCTTACACTTTATTGTTGGTAGCTGAGGCATGAGGCATTCCACAATGCTTCCACAATTAACAATTGAGCACAACCTATGTGGTATGAACACAATGTGAGTCTCAGCAGAAGTGGTAGTATCCAAGTTGTTGTACCAGTATAAAAAGACTCTTGTCATGTAGAAGTAGATTGTCTAGGTTCTTCTTCTTGAACAGAAATTCCCAAAGCCTACAATAACCCTCCACATAAGGACCACTTGGGAGAAGTGTTGTAAAGCACAGTCAACATCTGACTCTTGCCCCTGTTTTTCCTCAACTCACATCTCTCACCATAAGATGATCATCAGGTGGTGGGCGCGCTGGAACCTGGCACGCTAGGAGGGCACATGAGTGTTACAGTCAAGTGCTTCAGTGACAGTACATCTGTGTGAGATGAACAACAGGATCATCTCCACCATATCCAGAAAGATTTCAAAAGGCCTTATATCAACCCCAGCTTGACAAGTTTCAGTGCCTGGGATCAAGCAAAGAGAACAACACTATTTTGTGATGAGTTGGTCAGTTTAACACCAACATTTATGAAGGATATCTTAATTCGATACCCTATTTTTACAAAAGAAAATCTGATGATACTAAGATGTTAAAATCTGATGAAGGCTATCTACAATTGAAAGACCAAAACAAAACTTTTTGCTACACTCAATGAGCACATACACTGCTAGAAAAGAAACATGATGTAGAGTAAATTGGAGAAAGATCAGAAAAGAAAATAACCTATAAAGACACACAGAGAAAAAGTTATTCAAGAGGACAGTTAAGTTAAGAATTGAAACACCTATACATCATCGTACTCAGAGCTCAACCCAACAGCAGAAGAAGAAAACAAGAAAAAACTCCCAAGAGACTTAAAGAGGATATTTGTAAGACGAGAATAACACCTGAAGATCATCTAGTATCTTCTTGTCCTCATCCTTTTCTTGTCGAGTTTTTAGATGAGGTAAACCATCCAGAAGCTGTTGATTTTCGTCGTTATTTGGTCTAGTGTTTAGTACCTGACGATTTGGTGCTTGGAATGGTTGTTGATACCTCATTCCCTCCCTGTTTGCTCCAGAAACATTTGCCAACCAGTACTGAGTTGTGTCTGGCTCAGTGACATGTGGTAATGGGGTTGCTCCATGATATTTCCATGAGAAGTTTGATCCACTTTGTGACAAAGCTGTCTGATTCGGTGGTCTGGTTGGCGATGGCGTGACTGGCAGTGGTACGGAAGAGATAGATGAAGTCGGACTAAATTGACTTCTGTGTGTCAAGCTAGGAGTTATAGGTGTAGGTCCCATCAACAACTCCAATGCCAGCTTCAACTTGAATGCCTCGACTTCTGCATATGTCCTTTGTGCCTAATGGTTTGTAAACATGGAATAAATTGAGAAAAATCGATTAGATTCTGATCCAAGAGACTGACGAGGAACAATTCGAAGCTTCGCTACATACATTGACATTCGAATATGCTCTATGTACCACCTCTCTCCCCATAGCAGCATGCATAGCGGGGGGCAGATATTGGAACCCCGTCATCACTCCTCTGTTGGTATATACCAACGGTTGAGGCTGAGTATATATCAGCTGTTGAGGTTGAGGCGGTCCCATTCTTGCACGCTGGACATAAGCCCTGGAGGTCGCATTGGGATCGTAACCCGAGTTCTATAGTCGATGGAATGAAAAGTTGAACGAAACATTGAAGTCGAGAAGATATCACGAGATAGATGGAGCAAAACAGATTAGATTATGATCTCATAGGATGAGGGAAAAAGATCACATACGTTGAAGTTTGGATAGGGAGTTTGGACCAACACGCTCCGTCTGCCAGCGAAGGTATCCACCGCAAGATGTTGCGAACTGCTCGCCATTCCCGCATTGGTATATACCAACATTTGTGGTTGGTTATACATCAATGCTTGAGGTTGGACTCTGGGTCTTGAAATTCGCGGGCGCTTGATGTAAACCCCAGAAGCCGCATTAGGAACGTGAATCGGGTCCTAGAAGCAACGGAATGAAAAGTTGCGAGAACGTTAGTGGGATCGAAAGCCTGAGGTTGAATATAATATTATTTACCTCAACATGAGCAGCGCTGCGCTTTCGAGAGGCTTCTTGAAGAAACATAGTTGAGAGAGAATTGGTTTGAGTTTGGTGTGTTGATAAGTAAAAACCAAGAATGATAATCAAGAAATGTGCGGTAAAGGTTAGTGGCAATAGATGTCTAAGGAAGAAGAAGAAAGTGAACAATTCGTCCGACAGAGGTCATTTCTTATACCCCAAATTCTGACAAAAAGTTGATGGTCGACATCGAAATCCCCAAGATATGCCACATGATCCAGGTTCCTGATTATCGTCACAATGGATGGATGTCTTTATAAGACGGTTGAAGGAGATGGCTTGAAATCATTTGAAGATTAAAATCATGCAACAATTTTAATTCCATTTCTAAGATCGAAGATACTCAAATGACCCATATCAAACACCAGGCACGGATTCGATAAACGGTTCACTCAGTGTCTTGTTCTGAAACGTCAAATTCGCATCTCGAGGTTTGCTCTGGCAATGCGGAAAAAACTTAGTTTCAATAGGCTTACTTTGAGAATGACCATTGAAGTGAAGTTTGATCTTCTCATTGTGTTATCCTCACAATCTTTTGATTTTGTTAATGCTTTTAACCCTCGTCAAAGAGCTTATAAAAAGATCAACATGGCATGGAGTTGAGACCTTATGAAATTTTCAAATAATCATAATGCTTCGCCCGAATATATCAGTTTGTATCTTTGAATAAAAAATCAACTCCAGAGCCCCTTTCTCAAAAAGTGAATAAAGATACCCCACGTAAAGAATTTGTTAATCAAAGTGATGGAAATATCTTAAATGCTCACACATAATTGAATGTCTTGTTCCTTTCTATCTTTCTACAACATTTCAAAACATTCTTTGAAAAAACCGCACATCTTTCCCACATCTTCAAACCCAACCTCCTCAAAAACTAATATGTACTTTAAATTTGATAAAAAGCATCCTAATCAAAAAGCAGACACAAATAATACCAAACCTTTTATCCAAAAGAACAAAGTCTATCCCCCATACTCAAGATCATCTTTATACTCGATTCAATTACTTTAGCAATCGCTGCCTCTTCAATCAATTCTCCTTCTCCTTCTCCCTGTTGATCAGCACCATTCACTCTATCAAAAACGAAAAACCAGTTACACTCAATCCAATGAACCCATCCAACTCCATCTACGTGTTTTCTCGCTTGACAACTGTTGGAGATGCTTATAAGATTCATATTTTAGTCAACTTGAACGCCTAAACTACGAACCTTACTATGTATGTGAATGACACATTTTCCTTTCATCATTTGATTGGCAGGCTCAGGATGATCAGACCAGAGACGAGGCATTTAAAATGCAACCTTTCTTGTCACTGGAGTCTGGGACTCAAGATTAGTCAGCAAATGGGATGATTGTGAATCTGCCCCGTCCACTGATATGTATCTACACCACGGCACAGCCTTTCGGTCAAAAAGAGGTCCGCGCGGGAGAATAAGGTCGCACTTAGGTCTAGCGACCTTGGCGGCCTTCTGACTCGTCGGCAGGCCGCCACTGGGCTGCCTAAGGGCTGGGTCTGGCCTCGCCTTCGTGCAAGGTCCTGTTTCCGCCTGCTTGTGGCCTTTAAAGGGTCCACCAGTGATCGCGTCTGCCGGTCAACAAGGACCGCGCCTCGAATGCAGGAGCGCGCCACGCGCAAACACGCAAAACACACCACAAACCACAAACACAAGGTGGTACCACTCACATCGCAAATCGATCACTTCCTTCCACGATGACATCAAACAACCAGCCACATCCATGTAAGTCATGACCTTATGCTTACCTTGCTTTCACATCCAACACTAAATCAAAATGTCTTTATGCAGACATAAAGTATGATCCATCGCTCCCCGGCCTCAAGAAGTATCGATGCACTGTGTGCTCAGGTTCTAGAGGTATGCGAGAATACGAGCGACATGTTCTCTCACTGCCACATGCAGACGCGGTGGCACGCTACATTGCACAAGAGCAACAAGATGAGGCCGACCAAAAATTTTTTCAACAAGCAGAGTATTCAATCCCACCTATTGAACACTCTTCACCCCCAAGTCCAACACCGAACAATCCTGATGGTAACAAAGACACACCAGACCGGCGACCATCACCCCTCTCATTCCTACGCAGCCTGGAGGATGGAGACCCTCTTGGGTTATACAATGACTCAGATCACTCAGACGACGGAATCGATTTTAATAGCCTTCGACTGGCGTTTGAAGCGCTTGAGGACGAACAGGAGGATGACGGGTCTGAACATGGTTCTAGTGAAGATGAAACTGTGGACAATGTGCATGATGAGCCTGGCGCATGGTATCCCTTTAAAAGAAAAGAAGTGAGTGTTGTTGCCCCCCTATTTCACGTTGAGGAAAAGTGTTGTGTCTAACCTACTTAATAGCATGTGGCCGGACTCCTCATCATTGGCAATCCCCGAAATCTTCTTTCGCGGGCCGACTACCATCGAATACGTGCAATTATGAAGATCTGTGACCTCAACCTTCCACACTGGAACTCATTGAGTGAAGTTGTGAAAAAAAATAAAAAAAAAATGGGCCTGGACATACAAGAACGAGTCAGCCCTGCCGGCACACCACTCTTTGGTTTGAATGTACAAACAATTATAACCAATGTGAGTCTTATCATACGATTACTTTGGGTCCAATACTCGAGGGTTCGTCTCTGACAACCTTAATGGTTTGTAGGAATTGGCAAACCCTCTAGTCAGTCCTCACTTGACTTTCATCCCAGATCTAGTCACAGAGGGCCCAATCAAGGAATTTTCCCACTCTCATAAATGGCGACAAGGTTTGGCACCCGACCTACGACCTCCAATGGTTGTCTCAAACAACACGCATTACTACATTTACGAACCAGTTCAACTGAGGACTCAGCAGCTCATTGTCCCCATATTTTTCTTTAAACAAGACGGCAAACTGATGGCTAAATGCTTGCCTGCAACGGTTGAACCGGATGCTGAAGTCGCACAAAGGCTCAAAATCTACTTTCCAAATGAGCCTGATTTCGAGTCAGACAATCTGTTCACAATAGATTGTGACGACTTCTGGAGATCTTTTACAGAGATTCAACTCAGTGAGGGATCTTTTTTGAAGGATATGGCTGGACATTACATGTATCGTAAGTCAACATCCTTTTGATTTCTTGGAAATGCAACCTGATGCGGTGCAATTTATATAACAGAAAGAAATGGCTCAACTTTAACAAAATATCCGCTTTTGAATAAATGGAGAACTAAAGCAGATGGGAAAGTGGTCCGACATGTTCCTCTCATTCTCTACTCAGATGATACATCTGGTAATGTGTCAAAGAAGTGGAACAAGCACATGAGTGTATACTTCACTCTGGCTGGTTTACCCACTGATTTGTCGAATCAAGAGTTCAACATCCATTTCTTAGCTACTTCAAACTGTGCAGGTACTCTGGATCTACTGGACCACGTTGTGGATGATATAAAGTAAGATTCTCTCTCTTATTTTGTTTTGTAACCTCAAAAAATCCATATCGTCCGATTGTTTTTCTTAGTCAAATGGCCGAATCCGGGTTTGTAACATATGACCACATGTTGGGTGAAGAGGTACTAGCAGTCTCACTGGTACTCTGCTGCTTGGGAGACGGACCTCTTCATGCGGAAATTACAAACACCCTGAACCCGGCAAGTACAAATACACCATGTCGGATGTGTGATCTACAAGTCGATAAGAAAGTTGACAAAGAATCCAGTGGGTTTGTGCGTCACTTTTTGGGTATTGATGAAGATGGGCTACCTGTAAGTACTTCTTTTGGTTGAAGTGCGTCCCCCATGTAATTGAGCTAACGCCTGGTTTAAACTGGGTTAAGGGACATTTGCCTTTCCGCGATTGGGACAAAACCAGAAAAAGAACCGAATTGCTGTGGACAACAGCTCAACGTCGTAACACTAAAACATTGGTAGAAGAGTTGTCGCGCAAATACGGGGTCAGGGATACTCTCCTCGATTACTTTATTAAGGTGGTACAAAAGGCGCATGACACTCTACCAACGGCGGATGTCGAGGCTCTTTGCAATGAGCTTAATAGGGAGCATGGATATCACCTGTTCAACCCAATGCTGCGACTGAAAGGTGGGTCTCATTACGTTGTGACCATAGCCCTTATGTGCATGTGATTACGCAAACTGATATATGATGACTTGGCACTTACAGGCTTCAACGGTCATCTAGACACCCCTGTCGAAATTCTCCACGTAGTATTGTTGGGTATAACAAAGTATCTATTTCGTCACACTATGAAGGAGTTAGGTGCCAAGCCAGGATCTAAAATTTATAACGAATTGTCGGGCAAGTGGCGAGCTTTCAACAAAAAAGGATTGAACATACCACCGATTCAACCACATACTTTTATCAATTTCTATGCAAGCCTTGTAGGAAAGGAATTTCGCACGGTGTTACAGGCGGTTCCATTCGTACTTTTTGATCATCTGACACCAGAGAAGCGGGCAGTGTGGACAGCCCTTTGCTACTTAAGCTCTTACATTTTCCAAACCGAGATAACTGATATGGACCGGTATCTAGCGGAACTCGACATTATTATCAGTAGATTCTTACTACACCTTATCAACGGCACAGCGCAACGGGTCAACAAGCCCAAATTCCACATGCTCATCCACTTACAAGACTCCATTCAAAGATTTGGCCCAGCTTGCCTGTTTGCAACCGAAAAGTTTGAATCCTTTAATGGACAAACTCGTAATGCTTCAGTACACTCAAACCATCAAGCCCCAGGCCGAGACATTGCAAATAGATTCAACACCGAACAGATGTTGAGGATTCTGATGTCCGGTTCATCTTTTGTTGATAAAGATATAGACGAACGTGTGAAGCCTGGGTCTTCTTTGGTTGACTTATTTTTGAAAATACCAGAGTTGGCCCAATCTTTTGGCCTTTCTCTAACACCAGGAGGTGGTAGGGAGTTTGTCATGGGAGGTGAGTACCGGTGAGATATACACATATGTTGGTTTTTCATTAGTGTGCTCATATTGGCTTGCATCCAGGACTGGAGAAACGTGGACCAACTCCGTTATGTGTGCAGCAATCTGGTTCAGACTTTAACTGGCAATCTTTCACAAGTGTCACTTTGCACAACGGCCAAAAAGTCGAAGCTAAGGATTTCATTGTGGTGAGTCCACCCATGTTGCACTCATGAGCCCCGGTGGATAGCACAGCATGTACTGACTGGTTCGAACCTAGCTCAAAGCAAACAAGTCAATTGGACAAGTTGATTCGATATGGAAGCAGCAAGGTGTTGCTTCAAGTCAAGCTAAGGTAGTGTTGAAAACTTGCACCAGAGGGCGTATCGTCCCTTATTATACAATGCGCGAGGTGGTGTTATCTGATGAAGTGGTATGCAAAGATGTCAAGGTATGTGTAAATCTCGCAACTCAAAAATAAAACGTATGGTTGACGAACGACTTTTGCAGGACATCATGGCTATCATAAATGTACAGCATAATTGCGCTGAGGCAGAATGCAATGTGACAATGTGCCATTTCAAGAAGCTAGAACGCAAGATATCAACCATCCGCGTATGTGGCATTGTTCACAATACAACAAAATCTTTCATCCTCAACTCTGGGGCGCAATACAATAGTGAATTACATAGAAGCATTGCAGCAGTCGGCTTTGACCCGGTTGCACCTGAAGAATGGAACAGGGCTGTTGATGAGGGATTGGACGAGTGGCACAAGACTAAGAACAATACGTAGTTTTTGGCTATTGAATGAATCACCACATTTCATGAAATGCGGTGCTTCAATATAGCTACCGGCGGCATGTGCTCGGCATTGTTAACTCTCATGTTTTGTAATAGTTTGAATAATAAGGAATCACCGTGGATCTTTGATAAACTTCATACGTTTGCTGAGTATTGAATGAAGCACCACATTTCATGAAATGTGGTGCTTCATTACTGCTCCCGACTGCTTATTCTCGCCAATTTTAACTCTCATGTTGATGTTTATGGAAGCGCTATTGAATGAAGCACCACATTTCATGAAATGCGGTGCTTCAATAAAGCTACCGGCGGCTTATGCTCGGCGTTGGCAACTCTCATGTTTTTCTTGGTCATAGTTTGAAATTTAAGGAATCACCGTGGATCTTCGTTAAAATTCAAACATTTGCTGAGTATTGGATGAAGCACCACATTGCATGAAATGCGGTGCTTCAATACATCTCCCGACTTCTTATTCTCCCTTTTTAAGTCTCATGTTGATATTTATGGAAGCACCCTTGATCATTGTAAAATTGGGAGAGGAGAAAAATAGCTTCGAAAAGCGCATCCTTCAAAGGAAGACTCTTGTTGGCCTAATGAAGTTGTTTTCAATTATATAATTGGTCAGTTGAGTAATTATTGAAGCACCACATTTCGTGAAATGTGGTGCTTCATTACAGGTTGGTCAATGTTTGAAGAACCAAAGATTCATTGATTATATTCATATCATATCAATATAGATATTATCTTTTTTATTTCATGATTCGAAATAGTTAATCATCAATTTTGAAACAAAGGAAAGAAATTACAAGAAATTACAATTATTTTCCAAACAAATAAAAACATTGACTTGTCAACTATTCATGTGGATCAGTCTCGTCAGGTGCCAATGCTTCATATACGGGAAGCATGTATGGCGGGATAAGAGAATCAGAAACAGAAGAGTACTGAAAGAAATCCGAAACGTCTAGGTACATTGCAAGGGCAACATCTTGCCTCTTGCAAATCACGCGGTCCCAAGATGATCGATCTACTCCATCGTCAATGTTGCCGTTGGGGAATAGAGCCCTTGATATCGTAGTCATCACCAGATTTGCTGTTCGTTTCCAGATAGGTTCTTCAACAAAATCGTAACTCTTCATGCGTGCAGTTACCAGTAAAACCTGAATAAGACCGGTCTTGTATGTCCGTGATGGATTGCGCCAGTAAGTGAGCAGCCCCTTGAATCCCAGACAAAGAAATGAAACAAGAGGCGCCAAAGCTTGTGTTCTCAGGCCAACGGTAGAAGAAACTTGACGAAAAGTAGCATCCATTCCTTTTTGTTCGCCTTGAAGTTTTTCATTACATTTGTAGTGAAAATTATGAGCTCGAATCACCGCCAGGGCTTCAATGCATCCGTAAATTGAATCAACTAGTTTAGTCAGCTGTTTGATGCAATTCATTTCCACAGTTTGAATATGATTATTGTTGCTGTTGTCGTCCATTTGTAGTTTTTGATAGTGGACTGCACATTGAAAAGATTCTTTCACATCCAATTGTGAAAGATTGTAATGCTCCAGATCCGCAATCGGCTCAATAGGGCCACCTTTGGTGCCAACTAGTCCCACAGCCGCCAGTATAAATTTGCCTGCCGTCTCCATGCGAGACTTCTTCACATTTCGCATGTGATTGAGGGTGTAGCACAGTGACTTCTCTTGAACGTCACTACTTGGATTTTCGCCAGATTCGAAGTCTATATAATTCCAGTCCAAGATTTCGTCTTCGAACCAAGGGCATTCACAACCAGGATGGAAAAGACCATCGTCTGGTACAAGTCTCGTAAGCATCTGATTCCAGCTATGATATTGGAGTGAAGTATGGTAATTACTTACTTTGTTTGAGAGCTACCCATTCACTTAGTTTCACATGTTTACTAAAATATAACCTTTCACTTCCTTTACTGCGCTCATTAGGATCATACGATGTGAAGCTAGCTGACAAGCGGCCCAGGAGCAATCGTTTACAGGCTTCATGCATCAGCATGCAATCTTTCACGGTTTCCTTTTTAAAGGTTACTGAAGAACACCGGATATCAATTTTTGGATGTTCTGGGTCTTTCCACACTCTGAGAAGTTCAACAGTGTTCGTAGTCGAGTCCATAGGTGAAACATTAATCACGGGAGCTGATAATGTGGATGGTACAACCATTGACTGTGGTTCCACATGATCAATTTTATTGAGCGATGTGTTGAGATTGGGTGGATGGTCTGGCGCCGTGGTCGTCATCTCGTTTGTTGGTTCCTCATGAGTCATATTGGAATTCCTCACAGGTTGATCTGAATGCGTGGAGGGTGTAGGGCTGGGTGAGTCCCTAATTTGCCAGTCTCGAAAGGTCGCCGAATTGATCAACAATTCGGAAATTCGGGAGAGTTTTGGAAGCAGTCTTTGTTCTCCCTCGACAGGCCAAAAAGGATTGTTCCGGAATTTTTCAATGTACGAAATAACCGTGTTAAGGCCGTATTCGCCTAGTTGAATCGTGTTCTCAAGGTCATTATCCGGCAACCACAAATCAAGATTCCTCTGGAGATCGAGGGCGCGTTCTTCAGGATCTTGGCGGAAGAGACTGGTCCCAGATGGTTCATGCAATGCCAAAAAGATACGGTTTCCAGGTTGAGCTAAGGGGAAGGTAGAATGGAACTCGGAAACTACTAGTATAGTCCGTATGGCTTCACTAACTTCATGGAGTTTCGCACAGGTTCGACCTTTTTTTGGGGCGCTCGCAGATTCTGGGGCCAGCTCGAGAGAGTTTGTGCGTTTTTTCGTTTGAGCTAGAGGGGCCGAGTGGGTAGCCGGGTGGGTGGTAGACCGACTAGACCTTTGAGGTAACTCAGAGCCTTGTTCTGAATGATCGGGTATGACAATCCTTTTTCGCGTGCGAGCTAGAGGGGCAGATGTAGTAGCGGTAGTCGTGTTGGTGGCAGGGCGACTCGACTTGATAGATAACGCAGAGACACGTTTTAATTTTGCAAGAAAGGCGTTGGAGGTTTCGCAGGATTCACTCGCTGGGGATTCATCACCAGGGGTTGGTGATTTGTCGACAGAAGGTTTCGTGGCGCGCCTGTTTGATGCATCTTCTGAAACTGCTTCATTTGTATCCTCATCGTCTTCATCACCGGAGTCCGTGTTCTCGTTTTGTTTGTCATCTGGATATTCAATCCACAGCGAACCGGGCTTGTTAGCATATTTTTTAGATTGAATTTCTGAAATAGAATCATGATCAGTCTGTCTGACAGTATTGAGCGCCCAGGACCGCAGAAAAAAATGAACCCTCATGACTTACTCTTGCCCTCCTTGGCAATTGCTCGGCCCATCTTCTGCCATTTCCTCACAAGAGTCTGCGACTGCCAGGCGTTGTTGATCATGAACTTTACAACCATAAGTTGTTTGGCCAGTCCTAAGGAGTAAGCGTGAGCCCCCCATTGGCGTACAGGCAGTTTGGGGTTGAAATCGGGATGTTGCATGATGGTGTCCCAATCGGGGATTTCCAGCTTGTTGTTGTTGAGATTGTTGACGTCCTCTATAAAGGTAATGACAATCAATACCATAAGATTTCAGATAATGATTATTTAAACTGACCCAAGTCTTCCGCCTCCCTCTTCCTCTCAGCAAACTTCCTCTTCCATTTGGTTTCGTCCACCTCGCTTTCAGAATATGGTGAGGCATCCCCATCGGCGCTGAGATTTGAATCCGTCTCAGCATTAAGTTTGGTAGCCTTCGTCTGACCGGTTAGCTCTTTCGTAAGCGTAGAGGAGGCTTGCATTGAATCGGATTCGGTTGGCCTTTTAAGCTTGATGTTGATCTTTGTAGGGCAGGGAGCAAGATCCCCTGAGGGTGCAGCTGACATGGCGAAGAAGTATACAAGGAGAATCGAAGGTGTTGAAAGTTTGAAATAAAACAAAAGGAAGAGAAGGAAGATAATAAAGATAATAGGAAAATAAGATGACAACCAGATAGTCAAACGAAGAATACAAAGACCATAGGGAAAGAACGTGTCCCAACAAAGTAGAGACCTTCTAATGATAACGGTGACCTCAAAGAGATCCGATCTCTGAGTATTGAGTATGAATATCATCCTCAGCTCTGGATAAACATGTATTATAGCCAGAGCTGAGGATGATATTCAACAATGTCGCCGTTTTTGAGGGAAGCTCCGCATCTTGTGAGATGCGGAGCTTCCCAAGCTCCAAATCAGAACAAACTAAAACGTAAACTTGGAAGCACTTCATTAAAATGCTGTGCTTCAAAGAGAATACGATTTATTAT